GAGAGAGAGAGAGAGAGATGAGAGAGCGTCGCGACGGCAACAGATGTGCAGGCAAAGCGTGTCTCCGAGTTGTTGGCGCAATCCATCCCACCCCAACGCAGCTCATTGGTGATGCGCGTTCCACCCGTTCCTCCACCGGACCCATCCCAGCCTTCCGAGTTGGAGAGCCGGCGGAGCCGGCTGCCCAGGAGTCTCTGGCTCCCCGCCTTCTTGGCTGGTCTGTTCAGCTGCGTGTACAACTTCGCCTACGTGACAGAGTTTGTCCTCTTCGCCGTCTACTTCAAGGAACAGCACAATTGGCACTCCGCGACATGGGCAGGAGTGGCGCAATCTTCAGGCGACATCTTGGCGGCAGTGGTCCTGCAGTTTATTGCTCGCTTCGCACCGCCGTCACCTGAGAAGGAGCAGGCAGGCTTCGATGCTGGCGGCGCCACTAGCGCGTGTTACTCCATATCGGCAAAGCCATACAACTTGGTTTGGTTCTGCCTTTGGTGGGTAGTTCTTTGCCTGGGCATGACTGTCCCGAACTTGCCTGTGGTGATCGTATCCCAATTTGTTATGGGAACCCTCTATGTCACCTGCATCCAGGGCGCCACGAAGCTCAACACTTACTACTCCTTAGGGGATGCTAATGTCTTCATAAGCCTTCAGCTGATCAAGCTCAACGCAGAAGCTGTGGGAATGTCCGTCGCCACCCTCACGGCGATGGTGCTTTATGACCAGGCCAGGGACCAAAGCCCAAGCAAATCCTTCCATACCGCTGAGAGAGAGAGGTTCGAAGGTGGATGCTAGATTTTTGAAGAGCCTTTCTCCTTACACTGTAAGCTTGAACGCAAGCCCTAGCCAATCCTCGGGAGCAACGTGAAAAGGAATACGTGCCGAGACAGTGGTGCTTGAGGTCTCCCTCGTCGTGCCGCGGAGACGTGCTCTTCGGAGAGAGCGCCGTTCATAAGTTTTGCCGTGTGAACTCTGTTCGCGAACTCGTGACATACTACAATTTTCGTGAGAGCCCAACCAAAATCGTTAAAGCACGTTTGATGCAGACTTCTGCGTAGTGCCAGAAGCGGGTGACTCGGGCATCCTGCACGTTCCAGGTCCACCCGAACGCGCCCTTCATACTAAGCGCGGCTTTGAACTTGCAGCTCGCTTTGGTTTAAAGTTTGTTCATCTCAAGACCTTCCGCGGAACTTGACAACGAAGTGTTTTTTTTCCTCGCTTGCCGTTTTCAAGGTGTGCTCTCATCGTGATCTTCGTTGGTTTCTATTTGCGCGTGGGCTGTGGACAGTCTCTTGAGGCCAGGGAGGCCCAGCGGGCAGAGAGACTGGGCTTATCCCGGCACAAGAGCTGGAAGTTAACGATTGCAGG